ATTGAAATAGTTGAATGTACCTTACAGAAATAATTTACTCATGTTTTTTAAATCTCAGCTATATTACTGCCCTCTGGTATAATAATTGAGTCATCATCATCCTGAAAGGTTTTATATTTTCTTGCATTATTTTGTGTTAAATAAAAGCCACAGTTTTGCATTTTTATTGAGACTCCCCTCTGAATGAGTGCTTTACCACTCATCATTAGGATGATCTTTTTAAAGTGCATATTTGCTGTGTAAATCCATTTCTGGAGTAGAGCATGCTCGAGATTGAGGCCATGTGAACCCCCATCTCTGAAAACTCTTAAATTTGTGCTTTTGATAATTTTGTAGCACTGTGCTTGGCTGATTGCCCACACTCATCAGGCACACTGAGAAAGATAAATTTATGAATTCTCTGGACCCTACGTGAAGACTTAAGGCAAAGTAGGCAACCAGCATGTATGCTTGAAAAATTGAGATGTAGAGTTAGACCTATAATCACATGAAAAGGCTGCATTGATCTATTCTCTCATTGACTGATAGAGGGGGACACAGGCTAGGGAATATGACTTAGTTAGCCGTGTTTACTGACATTGTATAGTCCAGGGGTGGGAAACTGAAGCAAGGAAATAGCAGTTTGGTTTTTTGTTTTTACTTGACCAAAATTCAAATACATAAAGTATAACTTATACTTAACTGTTAGAACCATATCCAAACTCAAGGTGAATGTTATGACACTGTCAAAAAGTGAAAGCAGATTGAATTAATGCTATAATTAATGTGTGTCAATTTGCATTGACAATCCAGAATTCTATGTCTGTGAGTTAGAATCAAAACTTAAGAAAGCTTTTAAAACTTGTGCAGGTTTTCATGAAGAACCATGCCTAGTTTCAGATTGATTGGGCTATATAATAAATTATTTAGACCCAAAATGTAGTTTGTTTAAAATGGCCAAATAATAAGGTTTTTCCCCCCCCTGCTAAAAAGACAGAAAAATTTTAAATGTCAGATGCTTGTGTATTAATGGCATTGGTGAGCCCCACCTTTTCCCCTTCCCAGCTCAAAAGCTGGATATTTGGTACTTGGGAATATATCTCTCTAGGTGTTTAAATGCAAAACACAATAAAAAAAGATAAACGAGGGCTTCCCTGATTGGCTCAGCGGTAAAGAAGTCACCTGCCAATGCAACAGACACGGATTGGATCCCTGATCCGGGAAGATCCCGCAGGCCGTGGAGCAGCTAGGCTCTGCACCACGCCATTGAACCTGCTCTAGAGCCCAGGAGCCGCAAGTGCTGAAGCCCAAGATCGCACGCTCCACAGCAAGAGGAGCCCCTGTGATGGGAAGCCCGAGCAGCAACAAAGACCCAGCAGAAATGAATAAATAAGTAAAGTTATGAAAAAGATAGCTGAGTGTGTAAATAAAATCTTTCATACTATAAATTACTTCCCGTTCATCCAGAACAGTAAGGAACTGGGATGTTCTGACACATCGAATATCTACTTAACTCAGTTACTCAATTTATAGTTTTTTAAAGAATGAGAAAAAAATATAGTGACTGTTAAAATTACAGTAAAAATAATTTTCTTTGATTCTGAAAGTTGTTGGGAATACTAAGAGTACATTAAGGCTGTCATTTGTAATACTTGTCATTTGTAATACTGTCATTTGTCATTCTGTAATACAGAAAAAAATGGATTTATTTTACTTTCTAATGGTTTGATTGTGAATAAATTGAAAGTACATGATATTTGGATTTACATGCATAACTAATTTTCTTTACATATATTTCAAGAAATGTTGAAGTTCTTTGAAACCAAGATCTCTTTGATGCAGTTTCTGCATATTCCTAGATTCTTATTTGTCTGCTAATGACTGAAACAGACTTAATTTTAGCTTTCTTTTACAAATTAAAAATTTAATCTTTGGTGAAAACAGATTCAGTGTAATAAAGTGTCCTGGAAATGTGTGAAGAAAGTGGAGAATATAATACTACTTCTCATTCTTTATGAAGATTTCTAGGTAGTGTCAAGTCAGGGGTTCATTTTCTGTAACATAGGCTAGGCAGAGTGGAAGTTGTGTTCAACAAATGATACTTGTTCACTAAGCAAAACAGAGTTACAAGCTCTCAAAAAAAAAAAAGAAAAGAAAATAGGAATAGACAAACAGCACAACTAAAGGTCACATTACGCTCTAATAAATTTGATTGGTAGCTTTAGCTGATCCCTTTACTGCCCCCACATTTCTGTTCATGATTACTAACCTAAAAAAAAGAAGACTGTTTTCTCCATTGATTTTTTTTTTTCCCCTGCCTAGAATCAAGCAGAAGTCCTATTGAGTAATGAAATAGCCTAGAGCAGACAGCAAGGTGGGGAACCGTGAATTCGATTAGGCAATCTGTCCTGAATAATCAAGAGGCTATACTAGTATCTGTGATAAATCTAGTTGGTGGGAAATTTTTTTCATTAAAACAAGGCAATTTTATCTAATCAAAAGAATGTACAATCTAATTGACTTTGGACCAATGCTTCTTGGAAAGGACATTAATTACTGCTTTCCACTGCCCTCTCTAATCACCTACCATTTGCCAAAAATTTCAACCAAGCTGAAATAGAAAGTGAAACAATTGCCTTCTTAAAACTCCTTTCTCTTGCAGAGACAATGCACCATCCCTACATTTTATCTGCCTCCCTGTCCACTTTATTTTAGTCCACTCTCCTACCTACCTACCTTTGATAGTTGGCTTCCTTAAGACATACTCACGTGAGACTAGTTCCATCGGTTGGTCTCATGTGTCCATTGGTGCCAACTTGCCGATCTACATCCCTAATCTTATGACCTCACCCAGGCTCTAGGCCTCTCATTCCCCTATTTTTGAGGTCCCAGGTTCCACACCTGTTAGTCTCCTCTGGTGTCTCCAGTCAGATCCAAGCTCTTCCTCTTCTGGGTTTGTCATGCCTTATGTCAGCTGGGCCACCCCTGGTTCCCTGACTCATTCTGAAGTCATTGCAGTAGATGGATAGTTGACTGCTTTTTATTTTTTGTCTGAATGCTCTCTCTGAATTCATTATTTTTATGTATTATTGTGTTGGCCACAAAGTACCTTTCTGGAAAAGCCTGAACTAACTTTGCCACCAATCCGGTAAATCAAGCTCATACTTCTCAGTCTGTTATTAAAAAGTAGATCTCGTGTTTTTTTCTTGCCTTTGATTACTCCCCATACCAAGGCTTAGCCTCCATCACTTCCATTCCTCCACTGTCCTATCTCTCCCCCACCCCCTGCCTCATCCATTCCTGTCCTCCACCCCATAATCTGTATACTCAACTATTATGTTGGTGCAGAAGTAATATGTGGTTTTGGGCCCTGAATTTTAAATTGTTATAACTAGGCTCAAGCACATCTTTATTAATCAAAATAGGAACCATTACAATCAACACATTTTTGCCAATGAGAAATAAAATTGTTTATTCCTATAGCATAAAAATCCATGCCTTGGGATTCTACAAACTCTTGGAAATCATTTTCTGTATCCTAGTTGTGGAAGCATTCTCCCTGCAAAAAGTTGTCAAGATGCTTGAAAAAGTGGTAGTCAGTTGGCAAGAGGTCAGGTGAACATGGCAGATGAGACAGAACTTTGTAGCCCAGTTCGTTCAACTTTTGAGGCGTTGGTTGTGCGATGTATGGTTGGACATTGTCATAGAGAAGAATTGGGCCTATTCTGTTGACCAATGCTGGCTGCAGGCGTTGCCCTTTTTGGTTCACCTCATCAACTTGCGGAGCATATTTCTCAGATGTAATGGTTTCACTAGGATTTAAAAAGCTGTAGTGGATCAGCCTGGCAGCAGACCACAAAACAATGACCATGACCTTTTTGGGGAGTGCAGGTTTGGCTTTGGGAAGTGCTTTGCAGCTTCTTCTCTGTCCAGCCACTGAGGTGGCGGTCACTAGTAGTTGTATACAGTCCACTTTTCATCTCATGTCACAACTGGATCGAGACATGGTTCATTGCAGTCGCACAGAATTAAGACAACACTTCAAAATGACGATTTTGTTGATTTTTGGTCAGCTCATGAGGCACCCATTTCTGGAGCTTTCCAACTTGCTTCAAATGCCAAACAACCACAGAACAGTCAACGCTGAGTTCCTGGGCAACTTCTCATGTAGTTTTAAGAGGATCAGCTTCAATGATCCTCTCCACTGGTCATTGTCAACTTCCGATGGCTGGCCACCATGCTTCTCATCCTCAAGGCTCTCATCTCCTTTGCAAAACTTCTTGAACCACCACTGCACTGTATGTTCATTAGCAGTTCCTGGATATTGTGAGCTGTCTCTGCTGCTTTATGACCCATTTTGAACTTGAATAAAAAAATTGCTTGAATTTGCTTTTTGTCTAGCATCATTTCTATAGTCTAAAATAAATGTAAATAAACAGCAATAAGTCATTAGCAAAAAACATAAAGCAAGAAATGCACATTAAAATGATGTATAACATAACTGCATTTATTTAAGGATATATTCCAGTATCAAATAGCAAATTTCAACAATGCAAAACTGCAATTACTCTTGCACCAACCTAATACCATATACTTTCTCCCTTTCTTACATCTTTCCTCATTCTGTTCTCCTAGCCTGAGGCACCTTTTATTCATTTCAATGAAGTCAAAATTATTTTTCCTTCTTTCTTGAAGCTAACTTTGAAACCTACACTGGTTTTAAAAATATAGTTTCTGGATTTTTACTATATGAATTACCTCTGTTTTATAGTTAAATTTTTGGTCAGATTCTTACTTACCACTTGTTTCCCGTGTGCTTGTCAATCCTCCAGGTATTTTAAGGCCCTCAAGAGCAAATCAGATTCTCATGTTTGTCTTCTGGTAAAGTACTATTTACTGTAGAACCAGGCAAATACAAATTGTCGATTACTTCATTTGGAATTTAATGAATCTTACATTTTTTCCCCACGCCTCTGTCTTTGGAATATTTAAGCCTTCTCTCTCTCTTATTTTCCTCCTAGAAATTCATTTTATAGACAACATTCAACTTTGTGAACCTGAAGAATTTTGACCATTCCAAGTCTTAATGCCACACCACTGCTCCAGCGAATATATACTACGACTGGTTACAATGGCCAGAAGCCTGAAGAATTAAAATGCCAACACCAAACCTTACCTTAACAGCTCTGGTCTATACCATTCCCTCGCATTTTAATGTATTGTTTTGTTTTATAACCACTTCTAAATATCATTTCTTTCTTTTTTGTTTTTTTAGTTAGAGAGTTTTGGTTTTTGTTTCCTGTTTACTTTGTGTCCAACTACCTGCTTTTTGTGACTCATTTTGATCAAATGATAGTGAACAAAGCCAGCCCCAGCTGGTACGGTGCTGTTCACTGGATCGGGTGCTGCTGTGCGGAAAGGAGACTCTGTGACTCAATTTGAGAGTGGTTTTCCTTCTTCCGGATGCTTCCCACTGGGTTCTTAGAAGTCAGCATTTACAGAGTTTTCAGTTTGCGGTAAATACACTGTATGAGAAAATGTTAATGCAGATGTAAAAGTGTTTCTTACATTATGAACATTTTCTAAGGTTTTGAAAATTTCATTGGGGCTATTTTTTGATAGTGAACCCTTTTGACTTTCCAGTCCTGTGATTTTTTACTTTGGAGCAGGAAGCCCGGGAATCTGCGGACTGGAGAACCATGATGAAGTTCGCTGGCCACGCACGTGTGCAGAGGCCCTGCCGCACCGCAGTGCCCATCCTTTCCCGACACGGGCTCTTCGGCAGCATTCCAGAAACCGGAGGGGAGAGGCAGCGCTGCCTTCCCTCCTACTAAAACAGTCAGGCAGCTTAAAAACCTTAGTGCTTTCTTTCCTAACATGTCCACATTTCCATACTTTCCACTATTTGAACACTTGTGTAGAACACTTGTATTAAACCCCTTTGTCTCCATGTATAAACTGACCTTTTGTTTATCAGGCAGGTGTATCTCTTTCAGATAGCGTGATGACTCACAGGTGTGAGGATGCTGGGTTGGAGGAGTGGGGCCGTGGTGGGGTTTTTTTGACAGTTGTAAGAAAGTTACACCAGAAAAGCTGATGCCAGGGACCTGATAGGGACGTATTAACTGTATTGAACATTCTTTGCTTTGCTTTGCCCCCATGTATAGTTATGCCAGATTAGATATCTAGCAGCTGCAAGTTGTATTAAATGATATTTTGCTTTCTGTAATACTGTTATAAAATAAAGTTTGTTTATTCTCTAAACTTAGCACTTCTTTTTTTTGAAGGTTTTAAAAAATAAGCTCAAGACCTCCTGTCAGTCAGAGGTTCTAGTATTTTGTGGGATGTAGCATTTTTTAAATCTGTTATTCAGATATTTTATAATTTCATGTGGCTGCCAGCTTCACCAATTTCAAATGGCTAAAACAATGTCAAATGTTTGTAAATCTCCTCTTGAGAATGCCAGTTCCTTCTGCCTGGTTACATAATCCACCCCCCAGCTTGTCCAAGTTCTCCAAGGCATATTTTTGCTTGTTTTTTTTGTGTATTTTTTGTTTTGTTTCAGGAACTATTTTAGCTGCACCGTCTAAAATCTGGTCCTCTGCTTCAGTTTTGCTTAACAGTCCACTGACCCTTAATGCATCAGGCAGAATGGGCTCTGCCGAGCGCTGCACCCGTTTCTGAGCAGGATGGTTCACTGTGAGGCTTTTGCCCAGACTCATTTTCTTTCAAATGTTAAAAGCATTATACAGCAAATGACCAACACGGTATGATGGCTTATTTCATTTAAAATATTCTGAAGAATGTCTTTCCCTTGTTATTTAAAGTGAACATGTTAAATATAATTTGCATGGCTATCTTCTTTGGGATTAGTTGCCATGGAATTCTCTCTCACCTTGTGAAAGATCTTTCTTGCTTTCTCTAGAATTATTACATAAACAACTCCTCCTCTCTGGGGAAACCTATCTCAGCAAGCCAAGCCACAGAGATATAATGGAACCAAATACGACTCTGTAAATATAATTTGCATCAAAAAATGTGTGTGTGTAGTAGCCTATTTATTTAAAGCAGAGGTTGATATTGCCATAGTTTTTTGAGAACCACATCCTTCTAAATTACTGATGATAGCTACAGTGATAGGAGACTAAGTATGTCTCTGGCAGCTCCAGAAATGCCATATTCAGTCAAGACTCAGTTTTAGAAGCTGAGATGGCAAGGACAGTGTTTGGGGTCCCAGAGATATTCAGAATATCTGTGGGGGCTTGGTACCCAAGAAGCATCTGGGAATCATGTTGATCATGCCACCTGTGATGATGGCAGCAAGACCTTCTATTTTAGTATTTTGTGTTTCTTGCAAAATAATTCTCAGAATATTAAAATTTCATTGTGTGAACTGAACTTTCAAAATCCCAAGAGGTAGAATAAGAATGTAGGTCAACAGTTCACTGCTATGAGACATCCAGGTGCTAATTGTTTCTTAAGTCAAAGAGCAATATAATTTGAGGATGACAAGCAATAATTCCTTTTAGTTATATAGGGTTTTAATGACTATATCACATAAACCTTCCAGTGATCTTGTGTGGAACACAAGAAACAGAATAATGCATATTCCACAGGCCACAGCAGGATGAAAAATGATATTGTTAAAAAAACGCATAGAGTTGGTGAATTTTTGGCATTTCACTGTTGTGAGTAGTTTCTGTTTCCCTTTGTGATGCACACAGCATTCCTCACTGCATAGACCACAGTTCATGGAGTGATCATCACCAGGACCCCGGTCATAAAGCAAACTAGTGTAACTACTGCCCAGTGTGGACTTTCAAGTTTTCCCCTTACTTACGGATAAAATTGTATGATGTCTGTGAAACATCATATAATCATCTGAGAATTCAAAATAACATGAGGATAGGGAGGAGTGAGTTGTGCCTTAGGTGAAACGAGATTGGCTGTGAGTTGATAATTGCTAAAGCCAGGAGGTGGTAAGTAGGGGCTGGTTATTTCATTCGGTTCAAATATTCCATGATGAAAGACTAAGAAATCCCATAAAAGCGCCATAATTTAAAACAAAGTCCAGTCTTGAGAACATTGCTCTTCTGAGTATGGTGCTCTGGTCTGTTTCTAGTAGGGTCTTACACGCTTGCACAGGACATGTGAATGTCACTGCTGACACAGTGAGTGTAGGCTGAACGGTATTTGCAGAAGTCCACATGGGCTTGCGTGGATCCTCGCGTGCACCTGTTCGTGAATGTGCTGGGATCAGGCCACAGCAGGGAGTTGACCCCAAAAGAACACAGTCGGCTGGCAAATCTGAGGTGTCCAACTCCTGATCCTTGGCCAGGGCTCAAAACACTGACCCTCTGAATAGTCATGATGCCAAATTGGGTGTATAGTAGCTTCAAGTTGTATAAAATGTTTTGCTTCAGAAACACAGGCTTTAGACTCCTACAGCTGGGCATTGCAATGCCTTATGCTGAGTAACTGAAATGCGTGACTTCAATGAAGGTATGTAAACATCTGTGAAGTGAGGGTAGTAATACATCCCACACCAGGCATATTCTCATGGTTAGATGAAGTAAAATGTGTAATGTGCCTAGTGGAGCTTCTGGGACAATAATGCCCTCCAAAAAGTTTACCACTGTGAGTACTAACAGCACTGCGTGAATTAATCCACCAAAGGTAAGTAATGGGAGATTCTGCCAGTCTGAACTGTGTTCTGGTGAGAACTTTGCAGAATAGAATTCTGTACCATTATGAACTAAGTTACTTGGGAAGCCTCTAGGGAAAGTTTGAATTGTATAGACCCAACTTTCCTGTGAGCCCTGCAATGTCAGAAACCCGATATGGTCTACTCATCCATCGTAAGTAAGGTGGCCAGTGTAAGAGGCTACACAATTTTTCCCTAAGATTCTTGACTACAGGCTTCCTTACCACAGACTCCTTGATGGACTTCAAGGGTCTAGGCCTTCTCCCAATATATGCAAATTTACAGGTATACTCACTTTTCTTAGAGATATAAAAAATTATTCCTGGCTATCATTAAATTCTCAAAAGGTTCTTTATTACCTTAATAAAGGTTTGGAATCTCTGCTCTTAACAATTTGAGTTTGGGAATATGGATGTGAATTTTCTTAACAGAAAGAATTTCAATCTGGTGGTGGTAGTGGTTTTTGTTCAGTCGCTAAGTAGTGTCCGAGTCTTTGCAACCCCATGAACTGCAGCACACCAGTCTTCCCCATCCTTCACTATTTCTCTGAGTTTGCTCAAACTCATGTCCATTGAGCTGGTGATGCCATCCAACCATCTCATTCTCTGTCGTCCCCTTCTCCTCTTGCCCTCAACCTTTCCCAGCATCAGGGTCTTTTCCAATGAGTCAGATCTTTGCATCAGGTGGCCAAAGTATTGGAGCTTCAGCCTAGCACCAATCCTTCCAATGATTATTCGGGGTTGATGTCTTTTAGGATCATCTGGTTTGGTCCTCTAATTATAAATAAAAATTTTTAGATATGTACTTCCTTTCTATGTTCTGTCACTCATTTGCCAGGGTGAATGCCTTTGCATAAATGCTGATAAAATGAGAGGCTGCTTCTAATGAGCACACTAAATTATAAATTCAGGAAGCAAGACTCAGCATTTATTTGGAAAAATTCTAACTTTTTATAAATAGTCAGAAAATTGATTTACAAAATGTGTTTCACAGTTATGACTGATTTTTGAGCTATAGTTTTGCCAAAGAACTTAGATTTCAAAGAAAACCGGTTGTTGGTGTGTGAAAGTGTGTGTCCTTGATTTTCCAGTTGCTACTACTGTAATATATCTAGAAAATACTGGAGGTTGTTACCTGGTCAAACTACTTATAAATACATTTTTTCTTTAAAGGATTGTGAATAACACTTTAGAGAACATGATGGGTGCCCTTCCCTGCCCCGTTTTCTATTTTATCAACATGCCTAAGCTTAGAATGTGAAGTCATGGACTTGATGTCCCAATGAAGTCATGGACTTGGTGTCACATTTCCAAATTACCGACACAGTTAACAAGATGGATGATATTAACAGCTTTAGGTTCGCTCTGTAAAATAAATTTTTTGTTGTTGTTGAATAGATGGGAATATAACAGCACTTACAGCACCCATTGTTTTATTGAAAGTCTCGTGTCGGGGGAAATGAATTTGAGAGCTCATTCAGATGCTAGAACATTAGAACTAAGGTTAGTAATTATTGAAGGGAGACCACTTAGGAGCATGTTTGGCCCCTAATGAAATGCTTTGGCACAGAGGAAGAAACAATATAGGATGAAATATTAAGGAGGCCACCGGCCTGGTCTCTGTGACAGCAGCCATGAGCAGGAGCCTGCTAGACTCCTAGCAGGTGGAGAGCAAAGATGTGACTGGGCAGCTGATTGGCTGCCGTCTGTGAGGGACTCATCGAATCCAGTACGGGGCCTTCAGGCAGATGGTAGTAAAACCCTTGGACTTGGTTTCTCCATGAGAAAACTAGTTTCTATTTCTCTCTGCATATAAAACACTCATGACTCTACTCACGATTTCATTAGAAATTCCTTGTGCTCCCATCTTAGCCAACGGCAACAAAGAAATCAGGCCCTGCATTGCACAACTGGGTTATGCTAAAAGTGTGTATGTTTAGAGCTCCTTTGTTACCATAGTAGTTGAGATGCATTTTCTCTGCTCGGGCAAAGGTGGTGGAACGCATCCACCAGTGTCATCAGTCAGGCTTCGGGAGTGCCTGTTTCCAAGAGAAGTTGGAGCAAACCTTAGTGGCCGAACCTTCTACGCCTTCTGTCAAAGAAAACATTTTTACATAAGCTGATTTCTGCCAGAGGCTATAACGAGATCCCTCTCAGAATTGAAAGAATATTGTTACTCCTTCCATAAGGCATGCACACTTATGCTAAATTACCTCAGTCTGGAAGCCCCAGCAGGCATTTTCCTTGTAATCAAATACAATAAAACCCAGAAATGAGTGTCCTCCAGTTGAACAGTGAATTTCATATTATGCAATAAGTGCAAATGGAGACCGACAACTCATTGGATGCATATGATTGGAGTGAGGGAGGAGAGGGAAGAGAAGCAGAGAATAGCATTCTTGCTTTGGATCAGCCACATGATCTTTTGCATATTTCTATGTCACTACATAAATGCATTTCTTTCAGGTGAACAAATTCATTGTTTTATAATCTGTCTAATAGCCTGTTGGATTCATATGCAAACATTGGAGTATAACCAGACTTACACTTAGGACATGTTA